AATTATGAGCGCGCTGCGTGTGTGTCGCGTGAAGTGGGGCGAGAGCCCGCGCAGGAGAGCACACAAAAAAAAAGAAGAGAAGGGCGGGCTGCGCGCGGCTCTTTCGCTCACGCTGCCGCCCCCGCTTCGGGCTTGGAGGTTGGCCCCTCCTTCCGGCCACTCGCTTCCGGTTGTTCGTAGGAGGCGGGCGCTGCGGTGTGCCCCTGCTCCGCCTGACCAGCGCCGGCTGTCGCAACGGCCCCCCAGCTTTGACTGCACTGCGGCGCCGTTGCCAGTGCCAGTCGGAAACCGCGGCGTCCTTTGCAGTGCTCTCTGTGTGCCCCGCTGCTTCTTCCTTTTCGCGGCTTGCCGGTGCGCTAGCGGCAGCACCTTCTTGTGGGCCGGCTGGGGTCCCTGCGGTGTCGGGCTCTTTGGTGTCTTTGTCAACCTTCTCGGTGGGCTCTCCAGCCTGGCGGCCGGCAGCGCCAGCGCCACCTGCAGGCGAAGACCATTCAGTTGTTTTTGCTGCGCCTCCACCTGGTGTGTTTTACTCGTGGCATGCGGCTGGCCTGCAATTTCACCGCTCTGCAAATCTGCGTCGTCGCTCAGCTTATTTTGAGTGCCCTCCGTGTGCGGTTCTGGCGGTAAAGGGTTGCCTTGGTGTCTCTGCTCTGGGTCTCCTTCCGCTGCCTGTTTCTCATGCGGCCCTTTTCCCGGCACGTGCGATGAGTGCTGCGTTGCGGAACCGTTGTCGTCTGCCAAGTACCCCTCCTTCCCTGCATTGGTTTCTCCTTGACTGACATCAGTCGAGGATCCGCGCCCTTCTTCTGGTCGGCTCGGCAGTGGTGGTTGTTCTTCTTCTGGTGATGAAGGCAAGCTTCCTCGCCGCGGTGGTATTTCTGCTCCCTTTGTGCGTTCCGGTTCCGCCAATTCTACAGGACCGTCCTCCGATCGATCCCCGGTGCTATCCGCGTCACCTGACGGGCCGTCTTTTCCCTCCCTTTCTCCCCTGCCGTTGGCTGTTGGCTTTGGCGGTGGCGGTGTTTCTGAATATGGTGGTGAATGTGTTTGCCCCACTCCACCATCTTGCGTCTTTCGATTGCCCAGCGGCGGGGTGTGGCTTGTCCCCCCCGACCCCTTCGCAGGAGGCCCTTCATCCATTGCTTTCCCGTTCTTGCCGCCGTCTGTCAAAAGACCACCTTCATTTGCATCCGTATCTTCCTCACCGCTCGCCCCGTTCCCATCTCTCGCGTTCGTCTCCTCTTCCCCTTCCTGCGGGCCCGCCCGCGCCCCTTCACAAACCCCGCCTTGCGGCTGCTGTACTTCGCCCGAATTTCCGCGTCCGCCATGTCCTCCGCGACCACCCGCAAGTCCTTCAAGCCACTCTCCGTGCAGTAGCCGCCGCCCCACGCACCGACACCGACGCCGGCGCCGGCGCAGCACAGCACGCAGAGAGGGCGCGCGCCAACAGCACACGGCCAAGCATAGTCGCTCAAGTCGCCGCAGCACGCGCGCGCACACGCACAGCCCAGCGCGGGGCGGGGCGGAGCGGCGAGAAGAAAAAGAAAAGAGGGCGAGGGGGGCACGCAGAGAAAGGCAGGCCAAGGCGCCAGCATCCCCTTAAAGACAGGCAACGCCAGAAAATAGACGCAACATTCTCCTACGCCGTCGATTAGGT